TGAAGCATCCAGATGATATGAAGTGAGGGGAGAGACACAAGAATGCCCAAACTTGTAGATAGTACCCATTCAACCTAGCTTCTTCAATGGCTTGATGATCAGAACTTGACTAGAGGAAGATTAAAAAAATTTTAAATGTTGATAAACAAGTGTAAATTGCTATAATTTGATGAACTTGACCTATACTTATGGATGTAGTAGATCAAAATGTCTTCACATCAAGTGTCAATCCTATTCCCTCGGTATACAGGGTTGATAGAGACAGGCAATTTAGACACTGGCTACCTAAAATGAGGGGGCTATAGCAGCATGAAGTGACTGGCTTACAAGTTTTCGAGAGGGAGTTTAGTTTCAGAGTGTGCGGGGGAAGGTAGAATCCCCACTGAATTGTTTTCATCTTGTCTAGATGAGTCTAGTGACAGGAGATGAGGTTAAGATTCTTATGATTCAATAGCAAGTAATTGTTATCATGACTAATTGCGATTGTCCCAACTGTAAAGGTAGAAGTTTTGTAACAAAAAGGGGGGAGTAGTTAATCTTACATTCCAGGAAAAGAGGACACTAGGTTCAGAGAAGCAGCGACACCAGAGATGAGGACATGGAGAGATAGAGCAGCTGAGGACTTTAGACTCATGGAAAGAGAAAGGCCAGGAGGCAGAATGTCGCCTTTGGTTGGTGAAATGATTTTATATTCCTTCGTATTTTTGTGTACATTCCCCCTCAAAAAAAAGACAAAAAAAACCAGAGGGAATAGAAACAAATACTGTTGAATGATGATGCATGGAGAAGATTGTAATCATAGCAATGAAAGGATGAGTATAAAACCAGTGTTCTCCCATGTAAACCATCATGCAGTTCACAATAAAAACTTTTAAAAATGCATATGTAAAAATAAATTACTGAGAACTGTCAAAGGAAGACAAAAGAAGAAAACTGAAACTGATCATTAGTCAATGTAACCATAGTTCTAATATGTTTGATCAGAGTGGTTTTTGTACAAGCAACTTCAGAATTATTTGGTTTTCTTCCATTTGAAATTTGCCCCAGATTTCATTGTTTGTTTTTTGTTGGTATTACATTTTTATATTCTAATAAAATTAAGTTTTATGTAAAAAAAAATCACCTCTTTTTAGGGTAATGAAGAGCAAGAAGAACTTTCACTTTCCCTGAGTAAGGAAAAAAATCAATTTTATAGTTAGGGTTAAGGGCTTTAA